TCACAGGATCCAGCCGCATGACCGTGCGGTGAGGATCCACACTGCGACAGGGCTGCAGTTACAGGGAAAAGGGAGACGTGGGAGGCTGAGCCTTGTCCCTGTGGGTTAAATAAAACAATAGATGGGTTTTATTTTTCCTGGACTCTGTGAAATTTAAGATCTCTGAAAAACAAGACTTTCACTGGTAGGCTCCAACTCCCTGTACAGGTGTCTCACATTCACTAAAGATGGTTAAGGATATTTCAGTAAAGACTGGAAGTGAACACAAATAGTGCCATTTATCATCTTTCTTTCTTAAGATAAATTCTATTTGTCTTTGTTCAAAGCCTACCTAAGACAGAGACTTCAGGGTGGCTTGGTTCCCAAGCTCCTGGAAGTCTGCCCAGATGTATCTGCTCTGTGGGATGCAGGCTAGAGCCTCCCAGGGATGCTCCTTGGGAGGGCAGGGTGCACCGGTGTGCAGGGACACGGGACTCAATTCCACCGGCCAGATGCTCGTGTACCACGGCTCTCCCTCGGCAGCAGAGCTCCTCTGCCTGGGAGACACGGAGGCGCCATGGGAACCCAACCCCACCAGCGGGGCCTGGGGCAACCGGGCAGCTGGCAGGCACAGCCACGTCCATGTCCACGGCCACCAAGGGAGAGACACCCTGTCCCCATCCACCTCCCCAGGCCTCCTGCAAGCACCAGGGAAGAGGAATGTCATGTCTTACCCTTAGGAAAATGTGGTGGAGAAACTTTGTCTTGCGACTGCAAGTGAGAGTGGGGTGGATGATCCCCGTACCGAAGCCTTTGAAGACACTTTGAAGGCATTCGAGTGTGACATTTTCTCTCATTAGCTAGCTCCTCTGAAGTAGCAGTCTAGACAATGTCACACCTCCTGGCTCGTTTGAATTAACAAGGATGCTGACATCACCTAGCACAAGCACTGCTCACGTGCGCTTGCCTCCACAGCTTCGTAAGGAATCAGCGTTATTTTAGTACCTACCACACACTTTTCCCAAATTATCGACATCCGCTCCTCGATGCCGTTGGTTCCCTCGGGGATGAGGGTGAAGTTGTCTTTCCCCACTGCCTTCTGCGCGGTGGTGAAGGTGCAGTGAGCGCTGCCTGCAACCTGCAGGTCCCCGCTAGGCAAAGCACAGCAGAGGAGGTCAGAGGAGGCACCCGACGGCGCAAACAGCCTTCTCGGCACCAACACCACCTCCCCTGCCCTGTGACACCACTCCTCTCGGTGGGCGAACGCCACCTTCGCCTGGAAGACTGCGTGTGGCACTCACGGCTCGTGGGCTTCACGCTCCGTCTGTTTGGTACAGATTGGTTTCACCAACAAAGACTGTAAAGGCAGGCGACTTATGATCCATAAATCCCAAGGGAAGTCAGGTTAAAAGGCAACTCTTACAGGTACACAGGGGCACCTCACTCTACTAATTTATACAGGAATTAAGCACTGGAATAATGTAAAAGATGTAAACAGCAGCCTCATAAGCACTATTTACATTCTCTCCTAAACTGCCCATTATTTTTACTATTTAAGCCAACATTTTAATCTTTGTATCTTCCTTTTGAACCTCAGATTATTTTAGGAAATGGTTCTCCAAGCAAGGTTCTTTAAAAGCAAGGATACGGTTAAATAAAATGAGATCCTGGATAAACCCAAATGTTATGTACTATCATATACTACAGTGGGAGGAACTGGATCCATGCTGGCAGGCAGGGCACGGCAGGGCAAGAAGAGAACTGAGCATGTGTAGCTTGACGAGCCTGGGAGCATGCCTCCAGACTTATGTCAAAGCTGTGCTAGACTGAACTATGTTTGTGTTTTACTGCCTCTTTTAAGAAAATATTAAATGTATTGAGATATCTTTATAAACCATGTAAGATATAGTAACATGAAACGCTCTTCTCTTGTTGACAACTGTTTATACTTCTAAGGAAAAAAAATCACATTTCAGGGAATTCTAAGAAATGTTTATTTCTTCTTTACAATATATATGAATGCAATTTTTTTACAATTATCTGGATCCATAAACATCTCTCATCCCATTTCAAAAATTCTTCATGCATTACTTCTGGATCTGATTTTTCTAACTCCACCCATACCAAACTGCAGTTAATGCAGAGAGCTTTACTGACTCGTGCCACTCAGTGGGCTGTGAAGATGCTAGGGCCGAGCTGTAGGCACCTGAATGCAAACCCTCCGCTGTGAATGAATCCCCACTTCTGTGGATTGCTTTCTGCAAGGCAGCGGTGACAAATTTGGTGCGTATTTGCTGTGAAATGTGAAACCCCGGCCCGTGGCAAAGCTCCAACCGTGATTAACAGCTTGGCGGCTGCGTCCTGGATACAGCCCCAGCACATGGGTGTTTGTATTTCCCCGCCCGTTTGTATTTCCCTGCCCGGTCTGGGCTGCCAGCACCCGCTCGGTCCGTGCACGGCTCCAGAGACGCTCCTGCCGACCCCTGGGGCTTTGCTGCGTAACTCAATACATCGAAACAACTCTGCACGGTGACGTGCCCTAAAAGCTTATTTTTCACACATTTTAAAATCTTGCAAATGCCCAACACTGCTTCTGATAAAATCCTTCTTTTGGCTTTAATGCTAAAGCAGCGCAGGAGGCTTTCCCTAGGACACAGCGAGGCAGAGCGGCAGCGACTGCTGTCCCTCCTGTGCCATCCCGTGGGACACTGAACCTTCCCCGCCTCCAGTTCTGAAGGAGGAACTGGGCAGCATGAGCCTGATTTTTACACAGAAAATCTGGTAACTATTACTTGGCTTCATCAAAGCGTAATTTAGATTCTTTTTGAAAGAGTCACCCGGCTCCTTGCTCAAAGACCCGAAGATTTACTTTTTTGATATGGAAAAGTGCAACAATTGGTAGATTATTTTTCCTACTCTGATGACAATATCAAGGGGAAAGCTGAATTGTGTGCTAGCCTTTGCTGTGCTGCTGCATCCTACAGTGCCCAGGTATGGGAGAAGACTGGGGGTGCCCCCAGGAATGGGGTGGCTGTTACCCACCAGCAAAAGGTGGGGGGCCCACGCCAGGGAGCTCAGGGGCTGTGACCCCTGGCCAGTCCCCGCTCTGCGGGCGATGCTGTCGCTGTGAATGGCGTTTGAACAAATGCAGGCAGGATGCAAACACGACAGATGTGCTCAGGCATCCGTGCTGACACGGAACTCACCAGGACAAGAGGGAGGTGAGATGATCCGGCGTGGTGGGGTCTGGGCTGACGGGGGGAGACGTGACGAAGGCTGCAGCTTTGGCCCAGTTCTTACTCCAGTAGTGCGACCCGTCGGTGCCCAGGCTGGCGGTAATGGGCTCTCCATACACAACTGTGCCTATAAAGCAATAAATTAATGAGTGCAAACGCGCCGCATGTCCTGCAGCCTCTTTTCACACAGTGCTGACAAATACCGCGGTTAACAATGCAAGACAGTTTCACTTTTCTTCAGTGTTCTCAGTATTTCAGCTTTTTAAATTCACATTAATCCTTCAGATTACCTCATACGACTGGGAAATGCTGTCAAAACCAGTTTTGAACCCATCTATTTTCTCCTTAGACCAAACACACATTCGTATCCACAAACCATCACGCCTTCCTCTAAATCAAAGCAGAGTCTCCTGGCTGGGGACAGAGGTGGCTGTGGACGCCCGCCTGTCCCTGGGCATGGCCTTCTGTCTTGCACCCCGCAGGCTTGCTTCCAGCTCTTCCCACTCTACCCCCAGTTTGAATGTGGAGCTTGCTCCAGATCCATTTTTCATTTAGTTCATGACAAATTATTGCAAGTGAATTATTTCCTTTTTTTCAGCTGCGTCTACTGAGATTCAGTTGTCAAAAGTTTCAAGCACATCTCCTCAAATATTTACAGCTCAGACCAATTAGCTCTGGCACACTCTGCGAAGAAAAGCCAACACCAAGTTTTAGCACACTTAAAACGTGAGAGAACTTGGGTGATAACGAGTTCTTAAACCTTGCAGCTAGAATGATATTCCTGGACATATTTAAATAGGCTCAATTAGTGTGTGAATATGAAACAACGCTTTACCTTTTCTCTTTGCTTGAGCTAACACATCTGCTGCACCTCTGCTCATTATTTTGGTGATGTACAAGGGGCAGTTGGCTTGTTTCGCGATGGTAATTGCACGGTACACTGCCTCCGCTTCCACCTGCAGACACCAGAACACAGGCAGAAAACGTCTCAGGGCACCTCTGCTACAGCCGCAGCAGCTGTTCTAAACCCCTGGGTAGTTCTGCTGAAGGACTGGAGACATTACCTCCTCGGGGCGGCTGAGAACATGCCCTTCTGGCCCGGTAATCCCGAGTTCCAGCAGCCTCTTTTGCTCCTAGGTGGACAAAGATGAATGAAAGAGCAGTCAGTGATATGAACAGCCTGTCTGAAGCAATGTGGGACACAAAGCACCTTTTCAGAAGTACCTGAAGGATGACAGAAATTCATGAATACCACTAGGAGATACCATTTATACCTGTGACACTCCATAAACTGCTGCAGCTACTTCCTGGTAGACCCACCTCATGCTGGGAAGCATTTCTGGACTGGGAACTGCTGTGTCCCAGTGGTACCTTTGGACCTTCCCCACCCTTCAAACCACTCTTCAAATATTTCTGGAGGATGTGGGATTTTAAACCTGTCACCAATTACTCTAAGGCTGTGCTAGATATGATGCACGGCTACAGGAAAGGAACACGTTTCCCCTGGACCTGAGGCTGCCTGAAGCTGCTCCGAGAAGCCTGCAGAGGAAGCAGAAATGGGTGCAAGGCACGCGGGACTGTCCAGAGCTTCGCCCGGTAAGTCACGCAGCCACAGCCACGTGCACTCCCCGGCCCCGGTGCACTTTGCCATGCAGCAGCAGGGAGGTGGCTCAGATGAAAGGCTGCTGCTGCTTGCCCCCTCGCAGTTCTGGGGGGAGGCAGCAGCGGGAGGGGAGGTTTTGCACGGCCACTGGCAGAGCCGTGTGCCCCAGCACATGGGCTGAAGCTGAGCAGCCTCACCTGGCTGTGCCCACGTCCTCCCCCACCCGGCTCCACTGCTCCGGCAGCACCAGCTCCCCCGAAGAGCAATGCACTCAGTCCCCGCTGCCACAGCCTCACGTCACGTTGGGCACAAATCAAGTCCCCACAGGGACTCCCTGTTAGCCGGGACCCCAGTGACAGAAGCTGGAAGGAACGCTGGGTTGCACCAAGGTTACTCACGTTGTCTTTGAAAGCAGATGTCTAGCACACACCTCGTCCAGTTTCCTTTCTGTGATGTTCTGTATCATGTAATGCTCCCACTTAGCAGGCATTAGATGCAACGACATTATTCAACATTACAGACCAGATCTCGCAGGCTTTAAAGGATCCTGCTCTTACAGGATGGTTATTTTTCCATCCACTGTACTTCTATTGCAGATATCCTCCAAGTTTGTCCCCAGGGCTTGAGTGTCATCACACTGGCAGCTTAACAAAATACTTCTGAAGATACTGAACTGCTTGGGATCACATTATGTTTCACAGCCAGCTGAAGAAAAGGTTTCTCAGCTAAAATCCTGGGGAGGTGGGAATTAGCTTTTATCCTGTTCGCTCAAATAAGCCCATTTGAAGGATTGGGATCCTGCTTTCATTTTAAACTCTCCTCCCACACCACACTGAACACTTGCATGACCATAAGCTAAAAGGAACTGCAAGTCTAGTTCTACCTTGTATCATCTCATTGCAGTATGTATCTAAGATTTTCTTTTCTAAAGGTAAAAAGGAAAAATAATGAACATGAACCAAGTCTGCAATACCAAGGAAGTTCCTGAGTACCATTTTTGGAGGTAAATATTGCCAAGTGTAATGTACGTTATTTCAAAAGATCCAAACCTCTTTATTTTCTCAAGTACTCAAGACTTCTAAACAAGATAGATAATGTGATAAAGTGTCACTTAAGGCAGTCAGTCATCCTTTAAGAAGCCCCAAAACGTACTTGTTGGGAACCACTGAACAGTCCTTGTAAAGATTTCTGTGATGACACCCAAGTGTGTGCAAGGAATTGGGAGGATGCTGCTGATTTTAGGAGATGCCCCGAATCCCCCTGCACATTCTTCTGTCTGCACATGCTGCCACCACAGGGTCTCCTGTCAGCCCTTTCCCTCCAAGGCTTGGGTAATCCCCTTACACCGGAGAGCAGATCCCCCCCAGCGCGTGGGTGGAGGCGCAGGGGCAGGATGCGGGAGCACCGTTTCTCCATTCCCCTGGCTGCTGCAAGGCTCGGGGCCCACACGCACGGACCGACCAAGGCTGCTCTGCTGCAAGGCCACGAGCTCAACTCGGCTCGGCTGCTGCCGGAGATCTCAGAGGTGAGCAACCGGGGTGATGCCCTGCTAACAGCAGACACCACTGGAAAGTGCTCACTGGTCCTCTCCCCAAAGCAACCAGGTGTCACAGCAGGCTGCTCCTCCTTCTCTCATCTGGACCGATCCCTACTGAATTTGCAGCACCAACTGAAGGCTAAAAGCATGCTGGCACCGCTCCACCTTCCCCTAGACACTACAGCACTTTGCCTTAAATCAAAATACTCTGGTCAACCTTTAATTTAAATGAATGTAAGTACTGTACCTCATCGATGATGTCTCCATTTTCAGCATGCACTTGGGCAATGGCCCCCAGGTCTCGAATAATGCAAAATATTTCATACATCTGCCAAGAGACAGGGGGTTGCCCAACATCAGACAAATCACAGTCCACGCTCAGAGCGTGGGTGATGACATTCACTGGACGCTGGCTGGCTCTATTACCTGGGCATCAGTGCACTGAAGTTTGTCTTTGTAGGCCATAAAAACCAGGAAGGAGTTCACACCTTGAGAAAAGAAAATGACATGTGTGTATTGTCACGGCTGAGAACTCAGTGACGCAGTGTGGGCTGAGCAGGGGGCGTTCAAACCGGGGAGGGTTTGTGCCGGCTAGGGTTAGACTGAAAACAAAGCAAGGCAAAGGGCTGAAATGGGAACTGTCCCCACAAGAACTGAACCCCAAAGCTTGGGAGCCAGGAAAGACAATACACCCCTGTCTTTGGAGGCACCTGAACCAAAAAAACCCCAACCCATAGCCTATTTCTGATTTTAGGTACTCTCTGTAACTTGGTCCGAATGCACAGAATCAAACGCTTTGCTCCCAATCTGAGTTTTCCCTCCAGTGGTGGTTTCAATTTATGGTTTATCCTCAACTTCTTTCTGATAACTGTCTTTGAATTAGTGTATTAGTGCTAAGACTAAATTACAGCAAAGATGAGACTCTCTAATATTAGAGCACTGTTATTTAGTGCACTGCTATTTAGCTAGAGAAATAGATGGGCAGTACTTTGCATACAGCATTGCACGCAATCCTCATTTCTATCATTTCCATCTAACATAAAGGATGATTCATGAAGCGCTGAGTCAAAGCTGGAGAATTACTACTGTATTTTATATGGATAGAGGCAACAACTAATCCCAAACTACGATCAAATTACAAATAAATTGTATTTCACGTGAACGTACATATGAAAAATACTCGTTATAAGCTTGGAATAGCTACATTACTTCAGCCACTCCACATTTTAATAGGAAATTCACTGCAAATTTCTATGTTAATTGACCAATTAAGCCCTTGCTTGCAAGACTGCAAATTACACTGAAGTCATTTAGCTCTACATTAGCATATCTGAAATCGAAATGTACTTCCAAATATGGAAATAAGTATTAATGAAATGCATGAATTCCTGCCGTATGGCCTGCTTTCCAGTAAGCCATGTCCAGCGGGTACTTCAGGATGGGCAGGAATTACAGGCACAAAAGAAATCTCTATGGAAAGCCTAAACCTTAATTTTATTCTATAAGCCCCGTCTTGAATCTTTTTGTTTACATACTTTTCTGTACATCAGGCAGCCGGAATCAGGGTGCCTGATACCGTTCCTTTAGTTTCCAAAATCAGTTTTCATGACTGGGCTGTAAATTGCCCCAAGGTGAGTACACATGAACAAGGTGTTATGGTATGAACCCGGTGTCAATACCCCTGTTCACAACTTTCTCCTAGATGGCAAAGGACGGGCAGTTCACACCTCAACAGCGAAGGAGCATGGTCCCCTCCACGTACCCCATTTATCACTGGGTAAAAGAGGAGTACGGCAGAGCAGCAATAACTATCCTTACCCTATGGCGACTTGCTTGTGTGCCTATACCGCAGTAAGTATGATGTGGGGTTTTTTTGTGGGGTTATTGCCAGAATATCGCTCTTTCCGTCCTTACCCTTGTCCTTCACCAGGGCTTCCAGTTCCTCCTTCAGACTTTCGTGCCAGCGAGGGATGTCGATGTGCAGCGAGTAATCGCAGCAGGCCTGGCTGTCGGCGCTCCCGCGCCACTGCTCGTAGGCAGCCAGGAGGCTCGTCCCAACGTCCGGGCAGACGTGGTCAACTGAGGAAACACTGCACAGCGTTAGCACGTGTGCCAGGGAAAGGGCTAGAGAAATACCTGGAGAGTGCAGCAGCCACCAATATTCTTGTGCAAGACTTTACTGCTGTGAAAAGGAGACATTTTAATACTAATTCATTTTTATAGCATTGATTAAAGATGAAGGATAATAAATTTCCCAGATAAAGTGAAACAAATGGAACAAACGAACTCCCAAGTTACGACTATTATTAGGCCTTTTTTTCACACAGCCTACCTAGCACAGCATCTGAGAGAGGCTGGTGACCAAAGCATGTCCTTGCGCACTTTTGCACAGCTCCCTTGGGCATTTTCCATGTGCAGTCACTCACAGCCCATCAGTTACTGCACTTATCTTTGCTCCTATTCCCTACAGTATTGGCTATGAGATGGGTACAGAGCTACGCCAGGACTTGTTGAGACTGGTCCTTCAGTCACATACTACAGTGGGCCTTGGGACCAGAACAAGAACAAAACAGAAATCAAAATTATTTTACATTAACACAAAAACAGAACCCATGCTCACAGAGCTGAAAAACTCGTATAAAAACACACTTGCAAAGTTATTAAGAACATATTAAAAGGTGTTTAAAGTTTTCTTCTATTTTATTCTCTTATGAGGTGAAGCGGGAGCAACTATATATTTTAAATATATGTGTGTAGCAACAGAAGGAGGTTCTGAAAGGCACATAATGCATTTTAATTAGCTCTGTAATGCTTTGATTTCTACAGCAAAAATTAACATTTCTCTGCTATGAGGGTAAATAATTTCTGCAAGGATAAAAGGCCTGATGTATTTTGCTAAACAATGTTCTACTTAAAAGTCCGTTCGAATGCTGCTCCATCTTACTGATCATTGTGGTTCCTCCTGCCAGGGCTGCTTTCGTGCCTTGGTAGAAGTCATCAGCAGAGGTCATCCCCATGACAGGCATCTGCAGTCTGGTATGGACGTCTATCCCCCCTGGCATCACCATCTGGCTGTAGGCATCAATTGTCTTTATACCACCAGGAACAACCAGGTTTTCTCCGATTTGTCTGAAAACGATATTAAGATCTCCTGTTAATTGGCAACAACTTTTAAGTGAAGATGCAAAAACAACTTCTAAGTACTGCTCGTGGCACGCAGGCGTGCACTGCCTCGGCCTCCTCACACCGCGGGGCCCGGTTCTCCCCCGGGAGGAGAAGCAGCTGCACGTAGGGAGCGTGGTGTGCTCGGTCGGTGCCGGGAGCGGAGCTGGGGTCTGCCGGAGAACCCTGCGGGTCCCACCCTGCCGGCCCAGCAGCACCCATCCCACCCCTCCCAGCTCCGGCACTGGCTTAGCAGCGTTGGGACACATGAGGCCATCACCTGAGGGACCCCGCTCAGAACAGAGGAGCTGCTGAGGTCTCAGTGCCGGACTCTGTACACTACTTCTGACGTGCTCCTTCGCAGAGCTTAACCTGGCTCCTCACTCGTCTCCTGTACGACTTACAACAGAGCGCAAACTGTCAGCACTTTATACGTCTTTCCAGCCACCCAAGTACACTAATGTAGTTCTGTCTTGACAATATTCTAAAAAGCTGTCCTTGTTTTTCAAAAAGGGAACATATTTCCAAGAGAAAAATGACGGAAAGGAACCTTGTTCAAATCCCATGGCACTGTATCATGTTTGGAAATTACATTATAAAATATAAATTTTTAACTTACTTTATTAAACCATCTTCCACATATATGTCTGCATAAAATGACTGATCATCGTTGACAATTTTTCCTCCTTTGATTAGAAGCCGGTCACTCTAATGGAAAAAAAACCACACTTTTTCTAACAATTACTTTATTTAGATGCTACTTTACTCATTATGAGCTTTCATTAAGTCTAGGACTTAATATTTGCCCTTCAATCACACAAGTTTAGTTGAATATCCAAACTATGCTACACCAAAGCCCAACTGTATTTTGCAAAGGAAATTGTATAAAATTGTCATTTGAGAGGAACAGATGTTCTCCTATGAAGCGCGGTACCAGCCTGGGCATGTACAGGCAGCTCAGCCGAGCCTGACAGCTCTGGGTACCAGAATGCCCCCCATTTCAGAGGTCTCAGACGCGCACCTCTGAGCAGAGCCAGCCGAAGGGAGCGTGCTCCAGCCTTCGCTGCTCCTGACCTGCCTTGCAGGAAGCACACCACCGCCCCAAAGGCCCACCAAGAGCTCCTTCAGAGCAGGTTCAGAGACTGACCGAAGTTCTCTGCAGTTTTAAAAGGTTTGCAAGATAACATCCTGCAGCTCAGCCCTGTATCTGCCTCCTCCATCGGCTCCGGTTACGGAGACTTTTAAGTGCATCTTATTAACCTGGTAATTTATTGACGTTCCTTAGCTTTCAGAGTCTTGTGAGGCAGATAATGCCTCAAGGACTTTCCCCGTTTCAAAGCAAGACAGTGGCACAGTTGTCAGATTTGCAGAATCTTTAACCAGAAAAATTAGAAAGCAGTGGCATTTGTAAATGTGGAATTGTAATGTGAATTTCACATTGTAAATATGAAATTATGTAAATGTGGAACTGCAGCCTAATTTAAGAGGATTCCTTTCCCACCCTCTGGTCTTGCTAGAGAAATTATTACCAAGGCTAAAACGGGCAACACAAAGAGCATGGCCTTAGCACAAAAAAACCTGAGGGATGCAAGAGCACGTGGCAATACAGCCCAGGAGATGACTTACAACACAGCAATGTGTGCTGATGCAAAACAGCCTGGAAAACATTTTCGGGTCTTGTTTTAAAGAGCATCACTGGTATATAAAAAAAACTATTAAAGAATTGCATTGTGTTTTTAAAACTATCAAGGCTTTTATTGCATCATTATTGTTTTCCCTCGCCCCATAAAATCAATCAAAAGAAGGTTCTGCGTTGGCTGCCCCACGGGGAGGGCCCTCCGGCCCCTCCCCTTGCGGGGCCCATCCTCACCCCATCCCCATCCTCACCCCATCCCCATCCCCATCCCATCCCCATCCCAGCTGTGCCACACCAGCTCCAGCC